ACAGTTTTCAGTTTTCACAAGGCAACTGGACTTTCTTGTTTTTCCTTTGAAGACGTTTCGCTTCTCATCCAAGAAGCTTCTTCAGTTCTGACTGGATGGTGGGATAATGGAAGGATCTATACTCCTTGCAGACAGCTGGTTGTTTGCCTTCTTTTAAAGAGTCGTTGAGGTCACCTGGAGGTTTGTCTGGGGTCCTCAGGGTCACCTGAGTGGTGCAAATGGGTGTGGGGCCTTCTTGGAACTGCTGAAAGGACCATGTTGTAAATTCCAAGAAGGCTCCACGCCCATTTGTACCACACAGGTGATCCTGAAGACACAGATAAACCTCCAGGTGGCCTCAACAACTCTCTAAAAGAATGCAAATGACCAGCTGTTTGCAAGGAGTATAAATCCTTCCATTCCCCACCATCCAGTCAGAGCTGAAGAAACTTCTTGGATGAGAAGGGAAACATCTTCAAAGAGAAAAAAAGAAAGTCCAGTTGCCTCATGAAAAAGCACCTTTGGAACAACCATGATCTGGATGACTGAGCATCTCCACAGACAATGTTTCAGTTGGTTAGAAAGTGCCTAAAGAAGAAATGGTGGCTGGATGGAGTCACTGAAGCAGCAGGCGTGAGCTTAAATGGACTCCAGAAGATGGTAGAGGACAGGAAGGCCTGGAAGAACGTTGTCCATGGGGTCGCGATGGGTCGGACACGACTTCGCAACTAACAACAACAAAGAAGAAATATCAAAGCTGTGGTTTTCCCAGTAGTCATGTATGACTGTGAGAGTTGGATCATAAAGTAGGCTGAGCGCTGAAGAATGGATGCTTTCAAATTGTGGTGCTGGAGAAGACTTAGAGAGTCCCTTGGACTGCAAGGAGATCCAATCAGTCAATCCTGAAGAAAATAAACCCTGGCTGTCCTTTGGAAGAACAGACCCTGAAGCTGAATCTCAAATCTTTTGGCCACCTAATATGAAGAGAGGACTCCATGGAGAAGACTCTGATGTTGGAAAAGATGGAAGGCAAAAGGAGAAGGGGACGACGGAGGAGGTGATGGTTAGATAGGGTCATCAACACAATGAACATGGATTTGGTCACTGTACAAAAAGTGACTTACAACTGATCCTCATGTTCATGAACTCACAGCATCCTTGTGATCACAACTGAGGCACTTGGCAAGTGATTCATATCTATGACAGTTGCAGTGTCCCAGACAAGTGGTCACCTTTTGTGACCTTGTGACAAACAAAGTCCTAGTGGACAATCACCTAAATATGAGCCAGCTGTGTGCTGCAGCTGCCAAAAAAGCCAACACAGTGCTGGGCTGCATTAACAGAGGGATAGAATCAAGATCACATGAAGTGTTAATACCACTTTACAAGGCCTTGGTAAGGCCACACTTGGAATACGGCATCCAATTTTGGTCATCATGATGTAAAAAAGATGTTGAGACTCTAGAAAGAGTGCAGAGAAGAGCAACAAAGATGATCAGGGGACTGGAGGCTAAAGCATATAAGGAACGGTTGCTAGAATTGGATATGTCTAGTTTAACAAAAAGAAGGACGAGGGGGGACATGATAGCAGTCTTCCAATATCTCAGGGGCTGCCCCAAAGAAGAGGAAGTCAAGTTATTCTCCAAAGCACCTGAAGGCAGGACAAGAAGCAATGGATGAAAACTAACCAAAGAGAGAAGCAACCTAGAACTAAGGAGAAACTTCTTGACAGAACAATTAACCAGTGAAAAAACCTACCTCCAGAAACTATGAATGCTCCAACACTGGAAGAGACTGGACAGCCATTTGTCTGAAATGGTATAGGGTTTCCTGCCTGAGCAGGGGGTTGGATCAAAATTTAGGAAGAGCTTCTTAAAAATCAGACTTAACTGGAATAGGAAGGTGGTTTAAGCAGCTTCTCGTCCAGAAAATCTATGGACAAAGTCAGTCCAGGATCAGAAGTTTATGATTGCCACTAGCAGTGCAGTTAAGATGGACTGAGGGAGGCACATATTCAGAATAACGGAGTTGGAACGGACCTTGGAGGTCTTCTAGTCCAACCCTCTGTTCAAGAAGAAGATTCTATACTATTCCAGACAAATTGTTGCCCATACTCTTCTTAATAACCTCCAGTGTTGGAGAAGCCACAACTTCTGGAGGCAAGTCATTCCACTGATTAATTGTTCTCATTGTCAGGAAATTTCTCCTTAGTTCTAGGCTGGTTCTCCCCTTGATTCCAGGATGTATTGATTAGAAGCAGGGGTGTCCTCAGGAACCTCAAGATGGGGGTGATGAGAGAGGAGTTGCTCGGACATTACTGCTGAATTGTATCTGAAGAGGGATGAGAGGGAAGAAAGGAGAGAAAAGAGTGAAGGAGGGGAGAAGGAAGCAGGAAGGTTGGAGGAGAAGTGGGGAGAAAGGGAAGGAGAGTGGTGAAGGAAAGAGAAGAGGAGAGGAAGAAGAGGGAAATAGGGAAGAGAAGAAAGGGAGAAAGAAGGTAGAGAAGAAGGAGTGTGGATACAGTGAAAGGGGAAATGGGCGAGCAACACCAAAAGTCATGTGTATGTATTTATTTCATGTTATTAAAAGTATCTTAGATATGAATGGAAAAAGAATGTATGTTAACATCTAATAAATATCACGGGGTATATGTATGGGGGAGAGTTTGGAAAAATAATTTTTTTTTAAAAAAAAGATGGGGGTGATGGACATTAAAAAAAAGGGAGATGTTCAGTCATACTCTCACAGATGCCATCTTGAGTTTTTGGATGGAAATCTTCTCCAGTGTTTCCTCCACATATAACCAACTAAAATATTTATGCACTCCAGTAAGGGGGGGGGGAGCTTAACTGCATTGCACAAATGCTGGAAGAATAAAAGTTTGACATGAACAAATCAGCACAAAAGGCAGGGGGGTCGCATGGAACATTTCCCAAGCCATTTTCTGCACATGTGCATATGCATGTGCAAACGCAGAAAGAGAGACAGAGAGAGGCAGAGACAGACAGAGAGACAGACAGAGAGAGAGAGAGATAAACACGAACGGACCCACCTATCACCCTGGAAAAATACTATGTAAATTCAGATGTTGTAAAAACTATTACATCATGAGGGGGGGTGGGAAACGGACACACATATCACCCTGAAAGAATACTTTGTAAATTCAGATCTTATAGAATCTATTACATCATCAGTCCAGTAATAAAAACAAAGTAATGGTATCCAGGTTAAGCAAGAAAGTGATTAAGCCAGCAAACTGACCAAAATGAAAATCATATCGGTTAGGATTGATAGATGGATAAAAATATGGTCTAAACATCTGGCTGACGGTGCAACCAACCTTAATAATAATTCAAGTTTAACATTCTTATTCCTGTCTACTTAAAGACTAAATTGTTTTACAGCATTTTTAATTTAATAATTTATGACGATTGGCAAACCGTGATGTGTTCGATTTTTAACTCACTAGACGTTTTCGTATCACTGAAGGAAAAGCTTTCAACACTGCAGCCTTCAGACTAAGGAACTAGTCCTCATGAGGAAGTCATGGCAATTTGAGGTTGACGTCCCAGTTGAGAAGGTTGCCAATTTTGGCCTGCAAATCTCTCTCTCTCTCTTTTTTTTTTTTTTGCCTTTGATAATAATTAGTAAAAATACTCACACTTTGGTTTTCAAATGTCAAGGTGCTAAATCATGATGCTAAATGAATGCTTCTCACATACTGCTGGCATGTTTGCGACTTAAAACAACTATGTGAAAAGTGGTTAATGGAGTGTGCTATGTAAATAACACAAATTTGTGCACGGACAAAATTTCTCAAAAATTCAATAGTTTAAAAAAAGGAGAAAGAGAAAGAAGAGGAAAAAATAGGAGAAGGAGGAAAAGATCGAGAAGGGGAGAAGAGAGAGAAGGAGAAGGAGGGAAGGAGGAGAAGGAGAGGGATAAGGAGAGGGAGAGGGGTAAGGAGGAGAAGGAGAGGGAGAAGGAGAAGGAGAGGAGGAGAGGAGGGAGAGGGAGAAGGAGAAGAAGGAGGAGAAGGATAGGAGAGGGAGAGGGATAAGGATAAGGAGGAAGAGAGGGAGAACGAGAGGGAGAAGAAGAAGAAGGAGAGGGAGAAGGATAAGGAGGAAGAGAGGGAGAACAAGAAGGAGAAGAAGAAGGAGAGGTAGAAGGAGAGAGAGGGAGAAGGAGAAGAGGAGGGAGAGGAAGGAGAAGAGAAGGAGAGGGACAGAAGAGGGAGAGGAGAGGGAGAGGGATAAGGGTAAGGAGGAGAGGGAGAGAAGAGGGAGAGGAGAGGGAGAGGGATAAGGAGGAGGAGGAGGAGAGGGAGAACGAGAGGGAGAAGGAGAGAGAGGGAGAGGGAGAAGGAGAAGAGGAGGGAGAGGAAGGAGAAGAGAAGGAGAGGAGAGAGAGAGAAGAGGGAGAGGAGAGGGAGAGGGATAAGGAGAAGGAGGAGGAGAGGGAGAACGAGAGGGAGAAGGAGAGAGAGGGAGAGGGAGAAGGAGAAGAGGAGGGAGAGGAAGGAGAAGAGAAGGAGAGGGACAGAAGAGGGAGAGGAGAGGGATAAGGGTAAGGAGGAGAGGGAGAGAAGAGGGAGAGGAGAGGGAGAGGGATAAGGAGGAGGAGGAGAGGGAGAACAAGAGGGAGAAGGAGAAGGAGAGGGAGAGGGGTGAGAAGGAGAGGGAGAAGGAGAAGAAGGAGGAGAAGGATAGGAGAGGGAGAGGGATAAGGATAAGGAGGAAGAGAGGGAGAAGAAGAAGGAGAGGGAGAAGGAGAGGGAGAAGGATAAGGAGGAAGAGAGGGAGAACGAGAAGGAGAAGAAGAAGGAGAGGTAGAAGGAGAGAGAGGGAGAGGGAGAAGGAGAAGAGGAGGGAGAGGAAGGAGAAGAGAAGGAGAGGAGAGAGAGAGAAGAGGGAGAGGAGAGGGAGAGGGATAAGGAGAAGGAGGAGGAGAGGGAGAACGAGAGGGAGAAGGAGAGAGAGGGAGAGGGAGAAGGAGAAGAGGAGGGAGAGGAAGGAGAAGAGAAGGAGAGGAGAGGGAGAGGAGAGGGAGAGGGATAAGGAGAAGGAGAAGGAGAGGGAGAATGAGAGGGAGAAGGAGAGAGCACAAGAAAAGGTTGAGATGGAAGAGAAGGAGAAGAAGGAGAATCTGATTGACTTTCTACCCAACAGAGATTTATTATTGGAAAGTGGAAACTGGGTGAGAATAATATTCCAGGTTCGGTCGCTTAAAATTATTGTGCTTTGGATGATTTCCCCCTATTTCTTTCGGCCTTTTGCATGAGAACAATTCATGCATGGTAAAATGGGATCCACTTAATGCAGAAGAAAGTTATCTGAAAATAGGCTTCCGCCATGAAATCCTGGCTGTCTTGGGAAAGAGGCTCCAGGTTGTGGCTGTGAGGCGCCAAGGGCTGAAGTCTTTCACGAGGAGGCCAGGCCAATTCAGGGCGAACGGTTCAAGGAATCCCGCTGACTCTTCACGGGATCCACCCGAAGGCCAGGCAGGCTGCAGTTGGGACCAGCAAGAGCGCATTCCTTGGAGGCAGGAGGAGATTTGAGCTCGCTTTTTCCACAATTCGGCCACGTAAAGGCTGAATGGGTCGAAAATTGTCCACCATCGGAAGTGTCTTCTTACTGTCAAAATAGACCTTTTTCCAGAATTCTTGGATCTATGAACCAATAAGACAGCGAAGTATTAATTTTCTATCTTTCCAAGGAAGGCAGCTGCTTGAAAGTTAACATAGATAGAGAAGCTTCTGTTGATTGAATAATAAGGCAACAAAATATTAATATCCCTTCCTTCCTCCCTCCTGTTTCCTCCCTCCTTCCTCCCTCCTCTCCCTCCCTCCCTCTCTCCTTCCTCCCCCCTCCTTCCCTTCCCTCTTTCCTTCCTTCCTCCCTCCTCCCTCCTCCCTCCCCCTTCCTTCTTCCCTCCTCTCCCTCCCTCCCTCCCCTCCTTCCTTCCTTCCCTCCTTCCTTTGTCCCTCCTCCCTCCCTCCTCTCCTTCCTTTCCCCTTCTTCCCTTCCCTCTTCCCTTCCTTCCTCCCTTCTTCCTCCTCCCTTCCTCCCTCCTCTCCCTCCCTCCCTCCCTCCTTCCTTCCTTCCCCTCCTTCCCTTCCCTCTTTCCTTCCTTTCCTTCCTTCCCTCCTTCCTTCTTTCTCCTTCCTTCCTTCCTACCTCCTCCCTCCCTCCCTCCTCTCCTTCCTTCCCCCCTCCTTCCCTTCCTTTCCTCCTTCCTTCTTTCTCCCTTCCTTCCTTTCTACCTCCTCCCTCCCTCCTCTCTTCCCCCCTCCTTCCCTCCCTCCCTCCCTCCCTCCCTTCCTTCTTTCTCCTTCCTTCCTCCTTCTTTCTTTTCTACCTCCTCCCTCCCTCTTCTCCTTCCCCTTCCTTCCTTCCTTCCTTCCTTCCTTCCTTCCTTCCTTCCTTCCTTCCTTCCTTCCTTCCTTCCTTCCCCTTTCCATTCCCTTCTCCATTCTCCCTCCCCTCTCTCTCTTTCCCACATGCACACATTCCCTTCCTCTTCCTTCCTTCCTTCCTTCCTTCCTGTTCTCTATCAGCATTCAAGGAGGTTCACAACATTGCCAAACCCACACTGTCACAAAAAGCTACTAACATAGCAGCCAAAACAGAGCAGCGAAAAGCGACTAACACGAAAGTTAACCCACAGCTGAAAACCCGAGACCCTGGCGTCTTCAGAAGGGGCCAACAGATCCCTAAACAGCCTTGCCCCATCAGGATACGAGCCCACCTCAGTTGCCCGTGCATTGTGCAACCCCACGCAGATGCCAAAAGAGGCAGAACCTATGACGCAACAGCACAACCAGGGCCCTGCTCCTAACTGCACCCCACTGCTTTATTGGGCCCTTTTTTAACGCTTTGAGGACCCCCCCCCCAGCTTCTGCCATGTCTTAGCCCCATTTCTCCTACCTGCTCCCACCCAAGTTCAATGGCTTCTTCAAACAGGGTCCAGACCACCTCCTCACTGCAGCCAGGGGTGGTCAGAGAGCCAGTGTAGCGATAGAAGCTGCTGAGATCCTTCTTGTCCGGGATCATGGATTCCAGGCGCACAGCTGGAATCTCCACTTTATCCCCTGAATGAATGAATGATGGAGAGAACTATTTGTATCTCAGATATTAGGTGACTTATAGGTAGTCCTTTGTTTACAGCAGTTCGTTTAGTGACCGTGCTTGAAGTTACAAAAGCACTAGAAAAAAAGGAACTTATGACGGTTTTTCACACTTGCGACCAACGCAACATGCCCAGGGTCCCGTGATCGAAATTCAGAGGCTTGGCAACTGACTCGTATTTATGACGGTTGCTGTGTCCCCCCCGGGTCACGTGATCCCCCTTTGTGACCTTCTGACAAGCAAAGTCAATGGGGAAGCCGGATTCACTTAACAACCGCGTTACTAACTTAACCACTGCAGTGATTCACTTAACAATTGTGGCAAGACAGGTCGTAAAATGGGGCAAAACTCCATTGTCTTGCTTAGCAACGGAAATTTTTTTAAAAATTGTAAGCTGTTCAGAATCTTATTTGGAGCTGGGTGGCCTCAAAAATCCAGTGAATTAATTATTCAAATTATTAAATTGAATTAAATTCTTATCCATGTTAGATCTCGTCTCCTTACCTTTAGCACCGATCTCTTCCAAATGTGAAATGAGCGATTCATAGTTTGGGTTCTTTTTGCCAGGCTGTAACAGAGCAAAACCTATTAAGAACTGAACTCAGCCTTCTGTCCTTCTGAGGTCAGTACAATGAGCCAGATTGCTGGGGTTGATATGTTCTCTAAACCGCTTAGAGGGGGCTGTAAAAGAACTACAAAGCAGTATATAAGTCTATTGCTATTTGCTGTTTGAAGCAAGTACAAAAAACAGAGGGTGTCCTTCCTTCCTTCCTTCCTTCCTTCCTTCCTTCCTTCCTTCCTTCCTTCCTTCCTTCCTTCCTTCCTTCCTCCCTCCCTCCCTCCCTCTCTCTCCCTTCCTTCCTTCTTTCTCCCGATCTCCCTCATATACATCCATCCTCTCCTTCCTTCCTCCCTCCCTCCCTCCCCTCACCTCTCTCTCCCTTCCTTCCTTCCTTCCTTCCTTCCTTCCTTCCTTCCTTCCTTCCTTCCTTCTTTCCTTCCTTCCTTCCTTCCTTCCTTCCTTCCTTCCTTCCTTCCTTCCTTCCCCCTCCCTCCCTCCCCTCCCCACTCTCTCCCCCTTCCTTCCTTCCTTCCTTCCTTCCTTCTTTCTCCTGCCCTCCCTCACATCCGTCTGTCCGTCCGTCCTTCCTTCCTTCCTTCCCTCCCTTTCTTTTCTCTATTCCTTCCCTCCTCCTTTCCCTCTCCCTCCCATCTATCCATCCATCAATCCATCCTCCCCTCCCTTCCTCTCTCCCTCCCTCCCTCCCTCGCATCCATCCATCCATCCCTTCCTTCCTTCCTCCCTTCCCCTCCTCTTCCCTCTCCCTCCCTTCCTTCCTTCCTCCCTCCCTCCCTCCCTCTCTCTCCCTTCCTTCTTTCTCCCGCTCTCCCTCACATCCATCCATCCTCTCCTTCCTTCCTTCCTTCCTTCCTTCCTTCCTTCCTTCCTTCCTTCCTTCCTTCCTTCCTCCCACCCTCTCTCTCTCTCCTTTCCTTCCTTCTCCCACTCTCCCTCACATCCATCCATCCTCTCCTTCCTTCCTTCCCTTCCTTCCTTCCCCTCCCTCCCCTCCCCCCTTTCCTTTCCTTCCTTCTTTCCTTCCTTCCTTCCTTCCCCCTCCCTCCCCTCCCCACTCTCTCCCTTCCTTCCTTCCTTCCTTCCTTCCTTCCTTCCTTCCTTCCTTCTTTCTTTCTCCCGCCCTCCCTCGCATCTGTCCGTCCGTTCCTTCCTTCCTTCCTTCCTTCCTTCCTTCCTTCCTTCCTTCCTTCCTTCCCTCCCTCCCTTCTCTCTATCCCTTCCTTCCTCCTTTCCCTCTCTCTCCCATCCATCCATCCATCCATCCTCCCCTCCCTTCCTCTCTCCCTCCCTCCCTCGCATCCATCCATCCATCCCCTTCCTTTCTTCCTTCCTTCCTCCCTTCCCCTCCTCTTCCCTCCCCCTCTCTTCCTTCCTTCGTTCTTTCCTTCCTTCCTTCCTTCCTTCCTCCCTCCCTCCCTCCCTCCCTCTTTCTATATCCTGCTCTCTTTCCCCCCCTCCCCTATGAGAGCGCGGTGAAAAACAGCTGTGAAGCTTGGCAAGAAAGAGGAGCCAAAGTATCCCATTGTCCCAGAAGAAAGGACTCTACTATAACAGTGCTCCAGACCTTGACAACTCTGAGCTGTGTGGACTTCAACTCCCAGAATTCATGAGCTGGCTGAGTAATTCTGGGTGTTGAAGCTCTCATAGCTCCAAATTGCCAAGACTGAGAAACTCTGGTCTGGAAGGAGAAAGCTGAGGTTGATTTGAAGGAGGAACAGGGATCTTTGGAGATGTATGTGGGGGGGGGGGTCTCATCCACCACAGGGGTCTTTAAAGAGGTCTGGCCAAGATATACAGATGCAACTTGCGCTATATAGGAGGACGGCTCAGTAAACCACGATGGGTGAGGATTATGGGTCTTGTGCTTCAACACGACTGGAAGGCATTGGATCAGACTTTAACTTGGTCAAAAAAAAAAAAAAATACAATGGAATTCAAATCTATTCCATACCTTTATAAAAAAACCCAGCACTGCTATGCCTTTTCCTTTGGCCGCTGCCTCCACGTCATTAAATTCCTCCTTAATGTGGACGATATGAAGCTGTAAAAAGTCACAGGCTGGATTGACTCAAGATCCTTTATTTCTCAAATCACAGCTTAAATAACAGGTTAAATAACACATTTACTAATAAAAGGGAATATTTGTAAATCAGGGTTGACATGAGGGGTCCTTGGTGCTCTCTAAGGTTGCTTGTTTTCCTGCAGATGTTTCATGACCCAAATTAGGTAACCAGGTGCAGAATAAAGGCAGGATCACATGGTGTCCTCCTTTTCAAATCTCTTCTATTACTGTTATATATCTATGTTGAGATAATTGAATATACTCCTGTGGGGACTTTCCAGCAAATCATCTATATAACATGGTTTTCAGTATGGCAATGTAAATAGGGAAGATAACTTTTTGTCTCTTGTTCCTTTCTTCCTCCCTGATTTTTTATAGTTTAGGTAGAATACATAACATAACACATAACATAACATAACGTAACGTAACATAACAACATAAGATAACATATAACATAACATATAACATAAGACAACATATAACATAAATAGTAGTATAGTATAGTATAGTATAGTATAGTACAGTACAGTATAGTATAGTATAGTTAGTATAGTATATAATATAGTATAGTATAGTTAGTATATATATATATGTAGGTCTGGTTGTTCGGGTTTTCTCCCGCGTAAAATTGGAAGTGTCTTGGCGACATTTCGACGAAGTCCCATTCGTCATCTTCAGGCTGGTGTTTTCAGCTTCGTGCTTCGAGCAGCAATGTGTGGTCTTAGCTGTTTCTTCCTTTTAACTGCCAGTGGGGGTATGAACTGATTGGGTGGGAGCTTGGCTGTGTTCTGATTGGGTGGAGGTGTGTTCTGATTGGTTAGGGGCTTGGCTGTGCTCTGATTGGCTGGGGGCTTGACTGTGCTCTGATTTGGCTGGGGGGTTGGCTGTGCTCTGATTGGCTGGGGGAATGTTCTGTTTGGTTGTGCTCAGGTTAGTCTGAGTTGCAGGGGGGTTTAAGATTTTGGGCTGCCTTGCTATTTTTTGGCTTCGCGTTCGTGGTCGTGCCTCATCTTCATGGAGGGTGTCAGTTTGCTTCATGTACGGATTGGAGGGGTTTAAAGTGGCTAACGATGCAGCTGTGGTCTGGCTTCTGGTTTGTGGTCGTGCCTCATCATTGGTGTGGCTTTGGGTTTGCTTTTTGCGTGGATGTGTGGTGGTGACATCCTGTGTGGTTTTTGTGAGTGTGGGTCTGGTATCATTTTTTGTGTTAGGGAGTCGTTTGTCAATAAGGGCGGGTTTCCAAATGGCTGGTAGGCGGGAGGTATCATCTCGCTTGTTCATGCTGTGTGGGCGTTTTTCTATCTCGATGGCTTCTCTGATTATTCTGTTATTAAAATGTTCACTTTTGGCAATGGTTCTGGTATTTTTAAAGTCAATTTCATGTCCTGTGGCTTTAAGGTGTTGGACCAGGGAAGATGTTGGTTCCTCTTTTTTGACTGAGTTCTTATGTTCTTCAATGCGTGCACTTATTCTTCTGTTGGTTTGTCCGATGTATGTGGTGGGACAAGTGGTGCATGGGATTTCGTATACTCCTTGATTTTCTAATTCAATTTTATCTTTGGGGTTTCTAAGGATGGTGGATATTTTTCTGTTTGTGCAGAATGCTGTTTTGATGTTGTGTTTATGGAGGATCTTACTGATTCTGTCTGTGGTGCCTTTTATGTATGGGAGGAGGGCTTTGCCGTTTTCTTGTTCTTTGTCTTGGATTTTAGTGGGGGTTTCTTTTTGGATTAGGTTTGTAATCTTATTTCTATGGAATCCATTGGATGTTAGTACATTGGTGAGAGTGTGTAGTTCGGGTTTTAGGTGTTGTTCGTCAGCTAAGCGTTTTGTTCTGGAGATGAGTGTCTTGGCTACAGAGTTGATCTGTGCTGGGTGGTGGTGTGAGAGAGCGTGCAGATAGCGGTTTGTGTGTGTTTTCTTCTGGTAGATGGTGTGTCCTAGGGAGCCATTGGATTTCTTGTAGACTAAGACATCCAGGAAGGGAAGTTGGTTATTAGCTTCAGAGCACAGCCAAGCCCCTAACCAATCAGAACACACCTCCACCCAATCAGAACACAGCCAAGCTCCCACCCAATCAGTTCATACCCCCACTGGCAGTTAAAAGGAAGAAACAGCTAAGACCACACATTGCTGCTCGAAGCACGAAGCTGAAAACACCAGCCTGAAGATGACGAATGGGACTTCGTCGAAATGTCGCCAAGACACTTCCAATTTTACGCGGGAGAAAACCCGAACAACCAAAGACCTACATACAAACACCTGCGAAAACCTCAGAATATATATATATATATATAAAGAAAGAAGATATCTTTCTCCCATATTTGGGCTGACAGGGTGCATCAAGAAACACTCAAGGTATATCTCCCCCCCCTGTCTCTTCCCTCCCTGATATAGCTGACATATATATATATATATATATATATATATATATATATATATATATATATATATATAAAAGAAATGTTTTCTGATGCCAGAGTTTGGAGATGCATATTTCCAGGTGCTTTTTTTTTTTTACCTCCATGGGGTATCTCTCCCCATCGATGCTGTGTTCGGATCCAGGGCTCCGTGTCTTCTCCACTTCGCTTCCCCAGTGGAAATGAAACTGCACCGCCTTGTACCTGCCACTCAGGCCCCCCAGCTCCACCTTCCCGGAGTGATCCAGCTTGACGACAACTGTCAAAAGAGAAAAAATGGATTCAGTAATGTCATTTTTTTTTTACTGTGGGCCCAACGGCACACATCAAAAATGAAATTTAGTTGCCCGCTCTCAAAGTGAAACACATACGTGACACACACCTAAACATACTATATACAACATATGTATTGACCAGAGATAGGCAACCTTGGCCCTTTTATGACTCATGGACTTGCTGCCGTCAACATATATAACATCAAAGTTCCAAGTCTTTTCCCAGTAAACCCAGAAGAAAACTTGGGAGCTTTTACTATTGAGAATTGCAGCTGAGAAAAAAGGAACAGGCTTGGGGGCTGCTTATCTGTGTGGCAGAGATGATAACAAATATTCTAAATTTGGCCTGTTTGAATTTGAACGTAAATACTGACTTTCAGAACTGTATTGTGGATTTATTTTCTTGTAGAAGAAACATATGGAACTCTTTGGATTATAAATCTTGATTGTTAAACAACCTTCAATGGTTTTTTTTTTTCCTCCCTGGACAGAAAGGATATATTTCTTACTGGATAGAAAAAATTGAATTTTATTTATATCTGCTTCAGGCAGATTCAGAAATGGATGATTGGATAAATCTATAAAGGCTACCAACAATAAAATAAAATGGATGTTTCATACTCAGCTTTAGGGAGTAAAACACTGTCTTTAACAACTGTTCCCAGTAGCCTTAACTTGCCATATCACCAAGAAAATACTGATGAAACACAGAAAGAAATTCTCTCCATGTCGAAATCAATAGAAAAAACAATTACTTTTGTTTGTGAGCACGTTAAAAATAACACAAAGGAGATAAAAGAACAATTTTCTAATTTAAATCTACACACTCAAAAACCAACTACACAGAATGGTTTTACCTTTATATTCACCTTAAGAATCTTCTGTATTAAGATGTGAATCCTACTCCAATATTTTGGTTATCTTATCTTATCTTTATTGCATGTCCACCATAAGTGATAAAAGGTCCCTTCTTTACATTGCCATTTCCAACTTTCATTTGAAATACTTTTCTACATGCTTGACAACCTATCTGGTGTTAAATACTAATGATACATCATCATTCTTTTAAATTATAATTTAATGTAATTTTTCCATCCACATGTTCTCCCATTATGAGGACTACCTTACTTGTATTTCTTACGTCATCCTCAGTTATTTCTGCTTCTCACCTGTGTGTCCGCTGTTTTCCATGCTCCACTTGTTGGGCTTCACATCGTAGTTTATAAAATTAAATGCTTTCAGAGAGTCGTTGTAGGTTACCTGCTGGGTGCGAATATTGACTGGAGACTGTTTGTTGTTTCCACATTCTGGGTATAGCTTTGCCCATTCGCGGGGTTCTGCAGGAGAAAAAAGCCTTAGAATGGGACAGAAATTGGATCAAGACCAATATAACCATGATTTCCACAAACTATGGCTTACAAAGTTGAGGTAGGACCTCCTGGGCTATCAACTGGAAGAAGGCTAAAACACTCTTAAAAAAGGCACTGGGAAATCAGAATAACAGAGTTGGAGGTGACCTTGGAGGTCATCTAGTCCAACCCCTTGCTCAAGCAGGAGACCCTATACCAGGGGTAGGCAACCTTGGCTCTTTTATGACTCGTGGACTTCAACTCCCAGAATTCCTGAGCCGGCATGGCTCAGCATGGAAACCTCTCCCTTTCTCCTCAGCATGGCTGGCTCAGGAATTCTGGGAGTTGAAGTCCATGAGTCATAAAAGAGCCAAGGTTGCCTACCCTTGCTATGGCTGTCCAATCTTTTCTTAAACACCTCCAATGATGGAGCATTCACAGCTTCTGGAGGCAAGTAGTTCCACTGGTTAATTGTTCTCGCTGTCAGGACATTTCTCCTTAGTTCTAGGTTGCTTCTCTCCTTGATTAGCTTCATTCATTTCAAACCATTTTATCACAATAAAATTATCCTAGTCATCAAAACCTAAAAGCAAAGTGTTGTTTATTTTCAGGCTCAAGTACCAAGTCCAGAAGTGGTTTCCAAGCAGAAACAAAACTACATGCAGGTAATCCTCGACTTACAACAGTTCGCTTAGTGACCGTTCAAAGTTACAACGGCACTGAAAAAAGTGACTTATAACCGTTTTTCACACTTATGACCTTTGCAGTATCCCCATGGTCAGGTGATCAAAATTCAGATGTTAGGCAATAGGTTCATATTTATGACAGTTGCGGTGTCCCCGGGGTCATGTGGCCCCGTTTTGCCACTTTCTGACCAGCAAAGTCAATGGGGAAAGCCGGATTGACTTAACACCATGTGACTCCCTTAATAATTGCAGCGATTCAATTAATGACAGTGGCAAGAAAGGTTGCAACATGGGGCAAAACTCACTTAACTAACGTCTCATTTAGCAACATGAACTTTGGGCTCAACTGTGGTCGTAAGTCAAGGACTACCTGTAAATCTTTAGTTAAAACAATTTCGTCATCTCCTATCTATTTTCAGTTCCGGTCCCTGGGCTCAAACTAGCCATGACTCTAATAGACATTCTTCCTGGGAGCATTAGAGGTAGTCCTTGACTTACAACCATTCATTTAGTGACCGTTCAAAGCTACAATGGCACTAAAAAAAAGGGACTTATGATCAGTTTTCATCCTACAATCATCGCAACATCCCCACAGTCACATAATCAAAATTCAAAATAATGGGCAACTGGCACGTATTCATGACAGTCACACTGTCCCAGGGTCCTGGGAGAGAGAGAAGAGAAAAGAAGAGAAGAGAAGAGAAGAGAAGAGAAGAGAAGAGAAGAGAAGAGAAGAGAAGAGAAGAGAATAATATTAGGATAGGATAGGATAGGATAGGATAGGATAGGATAGGAGAAGCGAATATTAGGATAGGATAGAATAGGATAGGATAGGATAGGATAGGATAGGATAGGATAGGATAGGATAGGATAGGATAGGATAGGAGAAGAGAAGAGAAGAGAATAATATTAGAATAGGATAGGATAGGATGGAAGAGAATAGAATAGAATAGAATAGAATAGAATAGAAGAGAAGAGAAGAGAAGAGAAGAGAAGAGAAGAGAAGAGAAGAGAAGAGAAGAGAAGAGAGCTGGAAGGGACCTTGGTGGTCTTCTAGTCCAGCCCCTTGCTCAAGCAGGAGAACCTATACCATTTCAGACAGGTGGCTGTCCAGTATCTTCTTAAAAAACCCCAGTGATGGAACCCCCACGATTTCTGGTGGCAAGATGTTCCACTGGTTGATTGTCCTCGCTGTCAGGAAGTTTCTCCTTAATTTCAGGTTGCTTCTCTCTTTGGTCAGTTTCCAACCATTATTTCTCGTCCTTCCCTCTGGTGCTCTGGCGAAAACCTGGTGATCCCCCTGTGTAACCTTCCCAGCTGGGTTAGGATAAGCAAAGTCAATGGGGGAAGCCAGACTTGCTTAACAACTGCATGATTCACTTAACAACCGCAGCGATTCTCTCAGCAACTGTGCCAAAAAAGATTGTAAAATGGGGCAAAAATCACTTAACCACTGCCTCACTTAGCAACAGAACTTTTGGGCTCAACTGTGGCCCTCAACCGAGGACCACCTATAAGTATCTTATCTTCTCTCCCAGTTCCCCAACCCAGCTGCCTTAGGATTCCATCCAAACATAGGGCGGTGCGATGACTCAATGGCTAAGACACTGAGCTTGTTGGCTGGAAAGCCAGCAGCCCAAGTTTGAGACCTGAGCACCACGGGACAGGGTGAGCTCCTATTACTTGCCTCAGCTCCTGCTAAGCTAGCAGTTCAAAAGCATGCAGATGTGAGTACAGTAGTGGCCAAAATTGTGGAAACCTTTTGGGAAAAGTGTACAGTAGTAATGCCACCTTTGGTTAAGTTTCCATCCATTTTTCTTCTAATTTCTTTATAACTGCAGCCTTGTTCACTTAATAATACTATTTTACATCGCCTTCTGGGCAACCAGTCAACTCTTTGCACCGTGACTTTAATTTTATTACGTTTTACAAGCTCACTCAATGAAAGAACACAAAAAAAACCCAACCAGCTGGATAGCGATCACATAACACACTGACAAAATGTCCTCCTCTCAGCTTCAATACAGGACATCAATAACTGAATCCTGCCGTGATCTGATTGGCTCATTGCCAAAACAAGATGACACCCGATTGGCTCTCTAAACACTCCTGCTCATTGGCTACAATCAGGTGAAGGGAAGCTGCCTGATATCAGCCTAAGCAAGTTATGCTTCCTTTTTCTGATTGTGTGGCTATAACTTTTCATAGAATACAGTACAGATAATTGAACAAACTTTGTTGTGTTATGTTCTTGATTAAATTATCTTTCCATTGATATATAATTTTATGGTACTACTCCCCCCCAAAAAGTGGTGTTATTAGCCATCAAACCTTTTGCTAAAAGGTTTCCACAATTTTGGCCACTACTGTAGATAAATAGGTATCACTGAGGTGGGAAGGTGACAGCTTTCCATGACGTCATGCTGGCCACATGACCATGGAAACGTCTTCGGACAGCGCTGGTTCAATGGCCTTGAAACGGCGATGAACAGCGCCCCCTCTGGCCACAACTAGCAGAGTAAAATCCTTTACCTTTTACCTTATACAGGTAGTCCTCGATTTACGATCACAACTGAGCCCAGGATTTATGTTGCTAAGTGAGAAATTTGTGAATTTGTGAGTTTTGCCCCCTTGTACGGCTTTTTCTTGCCACGTTTGTTAAGCGACTCGCCGCAGTTGTGAAGTTAGTAACACGGTTGTTAAGTGAATCCGGCTTCCCCATTGACTTTGCTTGTCAGAAAGTCGTTAAAAAAACCATCACATGACCCCGGGGACACTGCAGCCATCATAAATATGAGTCTGTTGCCAAGCGTCTGAATTTCGATCATGTGACCCCCCCCGGGGATGCTGAAACGGTCATAAGTGTGGAAAAAGTCACTTTTTTTTCAGTGCCGTTGTAACTTTGAACGGTCAAAAAATGAACTGTTGTAAGTCGAAGGATGACCTGTACTCAGGCTTTTGGCAAAAAGCATGAATGAGATTTAACTTTGCAATCAGAGGGTCCTTTCAGGGCAAGACTGGAATGGTAGCAAAGCAGCCCGGAAGCTCTTCAAGATCGCTGTGTTTTTATTCCCATTTGTTACAATCAGCGTTTCTTTGCCTAGCTTCCCATAACAGTGACTCCACAGGAAACGTAATGAATTGTGTTTTCCCCACCCCTGGTTCATGTTTTACAGCACATTAAACTGTTGGTTTTGAAAATTACCTTTGCAACCTGAGACTTCACACTGCTGAGAGGCATAGCACCAGCCTTCTGCAAGAGACAAATAGCTGTCATTAGTTTAATCATATTATTCCTAACATGAGTGATAGCAGAGAACAGGTATCATTTTCAAACATTTTAAAACAGTGCATTAATTGATTTAGAATGCCATCATCCCTCCTAGGGATGCAAAAATTAACCCTATTTAGTTAAAAATAGAGGAAACATCAAACTCAGACAAGTAATATGAAATAAAATGAGAAATAAATCAATAAGGGGGAAATGGTAAAAATAAGAGAATAACAAAACAGAATACAGAATAACAGAGCTGGAAGGGACCTTGGAGGTCTTCTAGTCCAGCCCCCTGCTCAAGCAGGAGACCCTAGACCATTTCAGACAAGGGACTGACCAGTCTCTTCATAAAACCCTCCAGTGATGGAACACCCACGCTTTTAGTTTGCTTCTCCTTTTTTCTTCATTGTGTATTTTCACTTTGGAAATAAAATGAAAAATTTGCGTGTGGGGGGGGGGGAAAGTCCGTGGAAAGCAATCTGAAATTATAATCTAAATGATTGTTGTAGTGAATGAAAGAAAGAAAGAAAGAAAGAAAGAAAGAAAGAAAGAGGAGGGACGGAGGGAGAGAGAAGAGGGAAAAGAAAGAAAGAAAGAAAGAAAGAAAGAAAGAAAGAAAGAAAGAAAGAAAGAAAGAAAGAAAGAGGGATAAAGAAAGGAAAGAAAGAAACAAAAAAGAAAAGAAAGGAAGGAAGGAAGGAAGGAAAGAAGGAAGGAAGGAAGGAAGGAAACAAGGGAGGGAGGGAGAGAGAGAAAAAAGAAAGAAAGTAAGTAAGAAAGAAAGAAACGGAGGGAAAAAGAAAGGAAAGAAAGAAACAAAAAAGACAAGAAAAGACAAGAAAAGACAAGAAAAGAAAGAGGGAGGGAGGGAAGGAGGGAGGGAGAAAGGAAGGAAGGATTATAGGAGCTAAGAAATGGCTTCTCTAAGAAACGGACTAGCAACTTGCAAAGTTGAAGCTAGTTAAGAGGATGACCAGCTGTGAGGTGGATGGACACACTGGGCATGGGGCACCATTGGAAAATCTGAAAAACCAGGTTGGTGACAGACCCTCCTGCAGAAAATCTCTGTGTGATTGCTGAGAGTCAACACTGATTTAATAGCATATCATCAATTAAGTTGCAAAAATTTTTTCTATTATTACAGGAATCTGAAAAACTGTTTAAATAAAGTTTAAATAAATACCAGTGACTTTTAATCATAATCATAGCAGCTAAGGGAGGAGACTTTGCTCAGTTAAGAGAACGTTAATATATAAAAATATATTTGCAAATATATAAACCAGGAAGGAACTGGGAAAGAAGATAAACATTCTGGACAATATTATCTGGTGTTGGATACAATAAGTGGCCATAGCAGCTGCCCCACCCTGAACTCAAAAAACTAAGCAAATTTAACCTAGATGAAAAAACATTACAAAATCCTAAGCTGCAAAACAGCTTAGAAGGGGCAACGAGGTGATTAAATTATATCAGAGGTCTTCAAACTTGGCCCTTTTATGACTTGTGGACTTCAATTCCCAGAATTCCTCAGCCAGGCACGGGTGTCTGGCTGAGGAATTCTGGGAGTTGAAGTCACAATTCATAAAAGAGCCAAGTTTGAAGACCCCTGAATTATATTGTTGTTACAGAATGGCTAGTAGAGGTAATTCTCGATTTACAACAGTTTGTTTAGTGACTGTTTGAAGTTACAATTGACCCTGAAAAAAGTGATTTATGACCGTTTTTCACCCTTACGACCATTGCAGCAGCCCCAGGGTCACATGATCCAAATTTAGAGAGTTGTCAACTGACTCGTATTTATGACAGTTGCAGGGCCTTGGGGTCATGTGATCCCCTTTTGCGACCACCTGACAAGCAAAGTCAATCGGGAAGCCAGGTTCATTTAACAACCGTGTGACTAACTTAATACGGGCATTGATTCACTTAACAACTGTGGCAAGAAAGGCCGTAAAATGGGGCAAAACTCATTCAACAAACCTTTCTCTTCGCAACAGAAATTTTAGGGTCAATTATGGTCGTACATCGAGGACTACCTGTACATCTGAGCAGGGGGTTGGACTAGAAGACCTCCAAGGTCCCTTCCAACTCTGTTATTCTATTCTATTCTATTCTATTCTATTCTATTCTATTCTATTCTATTCTATTCTATTCTATTTTCTATATTGTATTTTATTCTATATTCCATTCTTTATTCTATTCCATTCTGTTTTCTATATTGTATTCTATTCTATATTGTATTCTGTTCTGTTCTATTTTTTATATTCTATTGCAGTGGTTCTCCACCTGTGGGTCGGGACCCCATTTGGGGTCGAACGACCATTTCACGGGGGTCGCCAAACAAGGCTGTCCGCCATTTTTTCCCCCTTTTCTTTGGCCATGCCCCTGGCACCCAGTGATGTATACGTGGTTGGGGGTCACCACAACATGGGGAACTGTATTATGGGGTCGCGGCATTAGAAAGGTTGAGAACCACTGTTCTATTGTATCATATATTCTATTCTGTTCTATTCTATTTTCTATTTTCTATTATATTATACATCCTATCCTATTCTATTCTATTTTCTATTTTCTATTTTCTATTCTATTCTATTCTATTCTATTCTATTCTATTCTATATTCTGTTCTATTTTCTATATTCTATTCTATTTTATATTCTCTTCTATTATATATTCTATTCTATTCTATTCTCTATTCTATTCTATTCTATTTTCTATATTCTATTGTATTTATATTCTATTCTGTTCTATTCTATTCTATATTCTGTTCTATTTTCTATATTCTGTTCTATTTTATATTCTCTTCTATTTTGAATTCTATTCTATTCTATTTTCTATATTCTATTGTATTATATATTCTATTCTATTCTATTCTATTCTGTATTCTATTCTATTCTATTTTCTATATTCTATTGTATTCTATATTCTATTCTGTTCTATTCTATTCTATATTCTGTTCTATTTTCTATATTCTGTTCTATATTCTATTCTATTCTATTCTATTCTATTCTATTCTATTCTATTCTATTCTATTCTATTCTATTCTATTCTATTCTATTCTGTTCTATTCTATTCTATTCTATTCTATTCACCTGTGTGAAAATTCAGTGAATTATTGCAGTGTCTCCCTTCTGGAGATCATTAAAGCCAGCAAGCAAAATCTTTTTCTCATCAGCAGAAATTCTGAAACTCCTCTCCCCTCCTGAAACCTCTTTTCCTGCTGTGTCAGCATTCGGGCAAGTGGGAATCTAAGGTGAACGGAAGGAGTTTCTTTTCCAGAGCTTGTGAAATTCGAAGACCTTTGAGGCTGGTGTCAACTTGCTGCGGGCTGCAAATTTTAGAGGATTGCTGGGGGGGGGGGAATATTGACAAGGACAAATGTGTTTTTCTCCCTTGCTGATAGGTCTTCAGTTCTAAGGTTTCCGAATCTATTCAGCTCAGAAATGGATATTTTTCAAAGACGTCCATTTGTATAATGAAGCGTCACATCAAGGGGGTTGGACTGGGAAGAATACAGAATAACAGAGTTGGAAGGGACCTTAGAGGTCATCTAGTCCAACCCCTTGCTCAAGCAGGAGACCCTATACCAGGGGTAGGCAACCTTGGCTCTTTTATGACTCGTGGACTTCAACTCCCAGAATTCCTGAGCCGGTATGGCTCAGTATAGAAACCTCTCCCTTTCTCCTCAGCATGGCTGGCTCAGGAATTCTGGGAGTTGAAGTCCACAAGTGATAAAAGAGCCAAGGTTGCCTACCCCTGCTATGGCTGTCCAATCTTTTCTTAAATGCCTCCAATGATGGAGCTTTCACAGCTTCTGGAGGCAGGTTGTTCCACTGGTTAATTGTTCTCGCTGTCAGGACATTTCTCCTTAGTTCTAGGTTGTTTCTCTCTTTGATTAGCTTCATTCATTTCAAACCATGGCTCAGCATGGAAACCTCTCCCTTTCTCCTCAGCATGGCTGGCTCAGGAATTCTGGGATTTGAAGTCCACGAGTCATAAAAGAGCCAAGGTTGCCTACCCCTGCCCTATACCATCTCAGACAAATGGTTGTCCACTCTTTTCTTAAAAACCTCCAATGTTGGAGCACCCACATCTTCTGAAGGCAAGTCGTTCCACTGTTTCATTGTGGAAATTTCTCCTTAGTTTTAGGTTGCTTCCCTCCTTGCTGAGTTTCCATCCATTACTTCTTGTCCTGCCTTCAGTTGGCTTTGGAGAATAGGTTAATCTCCTCTACTTTGTGGCAGCCCTCAAATACTGGAACGTTGCTATCATGTCACCCCAAATCCTTTTCATTCATCTAGACATACCCAATTCTTGAAACTGTTCTTCATAGGTTTTAGCTCCTAGATCTTTTTTTATCATCTTTATTGCTCTTCTCTGCAATCTTTCCAGAGTCTCAATATCTTTTTTGTATTGTACTGTGTTGTGATGTGTTGTGGTGACCAAAACAGGTCGCAGCCAGCTTTTTATCCAGGGCAAAGAGCCGTAGCGGAGCAGTGGTTAGAGTGCCAGCAGTTCAGCAGTTCAAGTCTCACCAGCTCAAGATTGACTCAGCCTTCCATCCTTCCGAGGTCGGTCAAATGAGGACCCAGGTTGTTGGGGGGCAAATATGCTGACTCTATAAGCTGTTTAGAGAGGGGCTGTAAAGCATTGTGAAGCGGTATATACGTTTAAGTGCTATTGCTATTGCTGTCGCAAGCTAGCTCCGCTCACTGCCAGCAGTTCGATTCTCACCGGGTCAAGGTTGACTCAGCCTTCCATCCTTCTGAGGTCGGTAAAATGAGGACCCAGATTGTTGGGGGCAAATAGGCTGACTCTGCAAACCGCTTAGAGAGGGCTGTAAAGCACTGTGGAGCGATATAATAAGTCTCAGTGTTATTGCTATTGCAGGCAAATTCTGCACAGCGCCAGGAGTTCGATTCTCACCGGCACAAGGTTGACTCAGTCGTCCATCCTTCCGAAGCCAGTAAAATGAGGACCCAG